CCCGCTTGCTCCCTCCAATCCCTGCAAGCCTTCCTCCCCCTTTCCCCCCATCATGTCTTACCTTAGATTGGGTAACCATTTTTAACTTGATCTAAATGCCCCCTAGCCTCCCTGAATGTGTGTATGTACCCAGAGCTGGGGACTCCAAGAGCACAGAGATACTATCACGCCTATATGGAAACTGGATGGAGAGGCGAGTCAGTTGTGTGACCTGGAAAGAATAAATAGCCAAAGATCAGGAGTGTAGAAAGACAACACAGGCAGGAATGAAACTGTATAGGCCTTGAGCTTAAGTCTGAGGCAGAAGATGCGAGTAAGGTGGTCCAGGAAATCAAGGTAGATGTAGATATAACTGGTGCAGTGGCTGATGCAGGTTGTATTTGTAACTAGAGAAATGTTAATGCAAATAAATGTCTAGTAGCCAATGTCTCTGACTTTCTGTGTTCTAGCAGGAAATGGCAGATCCCTGAAGAAAGTATATTTCTGTTCATGTTTTGAAGGACTATTTCTATTGATTTTCATACACATCTAGTTCATTCTTAAATGCTGGAGAACCAATCACACCCGATACTAGAGCTTTTTCTTTCCGACATATTGGCAGCATCAGACTGATGTGTGTAGCTGGCACAGTGAACCCCATCCCTTCCTTGAAGCCTGTGAATTATTTTCTGGGACAAAGGGTGCATCTACATGTGTGCCTGCCTGCGTAGTTGTTACTGTTCAGTCATCTAGTACTTGCTTTAGCACTAAAGCTTTAGCAAGTACTAAATGACTGCACAGTAACCACCTGTACTGCCCAATCCTGGTGCTGCATGTGTCATTTCTGACCCTACTGCACAAAAATATTTTGGGCTTTGGCAGAAGCATATTTCATTTTGCCATTTTACAGAAAACATTTTTTGTTTTTGCATGAGACAGAATTCTCTTTTCTAAGCAGCTGTACCATCTGCACAGCAACTCTTCATCAGCACCCTGGCCTCTGGTCCTGATAACACAGACCTTTATAGTTGTGTGGTGTGCTGAGATATGGCATTGTGGAGCAGAAGTAAATGGGTGGGGTGTACTTCTTGGCAGTGGCCCAGGCATAACTCAGAGGCAGGGCCATCACACCCTATATGTTCAAGCATAAGACAAAACAAAAATAACAAAAAAGATTTTTAAATCTTATTATTTTAAATCCAGTTTCATGATTTTGAGAATCTCATTGGAGATTTTTGAGTCCTTTGGATTTGTAACAACAATGATTGTATTCTGCTTCTTGGTGAGAATATTCCTCCCCATTTAACTTTATTATCTGGACAATATGAAAATATTAGTACAGGTCAACTCCTGTCAACATATTTTATTTTTCTGCTAAAAGTACCATAACTACACTTCATTTCATTCAAAATCAAGATCCACTTTAATCATTTGGCTATGTTGCCAGCTGCATTCAGAGATGCACTGAAGATGTACCCTGTACAAATCATACTTCATATGAGACCAGTCCTGACTTACACTGATATCTTCATGTGTTGTGTCCAAGGCAGCTGCTGGGCATTAAGAGGACTCAGCATCTCTCAGGCTCATCCCCTAGATGTATGATGATGGTGAGGAAAGAATCCTATCAAGAGAAACCTACAGTCACTTCTCCCTTCAATGTTTTCAACAATGAGGATTTTAAACATTGCCTAATAGAAGTACCACAATATTTTTCTTAATGTGGATTTGTTAGGCCTGTCTGTAAATTAATCTGAGGATTTCAGAAAACACTTGATTAACAAAACCTGATCTCAAAATAAGTCAAAATGTTCTTTCACTGTATATTTTATCTGCTGTTTAAATTTTCTGCAATCTATGACTGAGAAGTTCTACATATTTGCAAAGTACGCATGGACCTTACCAGTGTAAATGTCTTCTGTGCCACACCCCTTTAAAAGCTACAGTCAGAACTGCTTGGGCACATATTTTAAGCCCTAAATTATTATTAGCCAAATAAAAAATATTTTTAACCTAAGTGGAAGGAACCTGTAATATCAAAGAAGAAGATAATTGGTTTTCTTCTCACTTTTGCCAGAAAGCTCCAAATTATATTGGTGTGCTAGATAAGCCATGAAGTCAAAAGTGGCCAAAGATCTGTTCCAATCCCAATGATGAAATATCTATTAGCCAAAGGCTATTAGTAAATTGAAGTAATGAGTAGAGGCCTCAGGCCCATTGTATTATAAAAGATATAAAAAAGAGATGGTCTCTGACATGCAGAAGTTGCAATCTGAAGGCTTCACCTTTTTCTCCAATGAACAGCTGGCTCAATTGGCTATTTTACTATATACTTCATTGAGTTATATCCTATACCAGGGGTGGGCAATTATTTCGGGCGGAGGGCCACTTACTGAGTTTTGGCAAGCCATCGAGGGCCGCATGACAGGCAGCCAGGGGCAGATAAATATTAATTTTCTAAATGTTTTAGGGGCCCCAAGGGCCGGATAGAATGGCCTGGCAGCCTATATCTGGCCCATGGGCCGCATTTTGCCCACCCCTGTCCTATACAGTGGGGCAGGTAATTGAAACATGTCTTTGTAATTTCGTGTAGAAGACCATATTTCTGGATCATGGCAGATGGTGAAAAATAAAATGTAAGTGAAATCATCATAAGTTTTTTTTCCCCAAAAACATTATGATACTATATTTACAGTTATTCATCAACAATATGCCGTTCATCTGTGCCATTAGCTAACCACCTCCATCACATCGCCTTGCAAATACGAGAAGCAAAGACAGCTGTTTTAGTCACAAAAGATAAACATCTATTGAAATGACTATTGTTTTGGGTTCCTGAATCTACTAAATAGACATTTCCAATGTAAATAAGTGCTGTTACCCAATGTGACTCCAACAATATATTGGCAAAGTAAATTGCATGATGTTTACATCATGTGCTACCACATCTCAGCAAACAGACTACCACCTGCAAACACCAATGTAAACGAGAAAAGTACATATCCTGCCCTTAAGACCCAATGCTGTGGGGTGCCAAGTATCTTAATTTTCTGTTTTGGGGAATATATATATATATATATATATATATATATATATATATATATATATATATATATATATATATATATATAGGGTAACATTTTTTTAAAAGCATCCACATAACTTAGATGCCCAAGTTCCATTTTTTTAAAGTGGCCTAAGGGCAAGATCTTTAAAGGTGTTTAGATGTTTCAGTGGGAGTCTGGTGCCTCAATACCTGTTAACTCTTCATCTTAACTCTTTACTAGCTCAGGCAAATAGTGAAAACCAAATCAATCCATATTTAGAGTTAAAAATAATATTACTTTCTTTACAGGGGTGGACATTTAAAAAAAAATCTAAGGCAACTGCTATTACTTTAAACTTTGAAGACATAAAATGCACTTGTAAAAATTCTTTTGGTGTACGAGCAGCTTGCATTACACAGTACCGATAAAAAATAGATTAAAAATTAAACATTTATGACCCAAGGAACTGCTGAGCAGACTTTGCTGTGAAGAACATCTGTAACAATAAAATCCAGACTCCTGAAATTTGAATTTGCCTGTTGTGCTTGCTTAATTACTGTACATGCTAACTTTTTAGTCTCTGATAGGGTAATGGTACAGCTGTAGAAAATATTATTCCCCTGGGGGTTTTCCTGTATAAATTCTGGAGGGGAACATTCCCCTCTTGATACACACACATGACTCCCATTATCATTAATGGGAGTTATGTGCTCCATTCAAAGGGAGAGTGCACCCTTGAGGATGTAACTAAATCAACAAAAAACTACATTACAATAATGTAGAGGTAGGACTTTATCTACCCAAGCAAAAATATTCAGAGTTAAGGCAGAAACAGCATCCTTACCTTAAATGATGTTTTAAGATTATATGATTTTCAGTCAAGGGACACCAGTATCATGAATCCATCTGTCAATCTATCTGTCTCTGTATTTCCATGTATGCATGCATGTATAAATGTACACATATGGAGAATGAGGGCAAATATATATGTGTATATATATAAATATAAAGAGTATGTGTGTACATATATACACACTCATGCAGCTACATCTGGGCTAAAATACTGAGGCACAACAGGATGAATTAATAGTGTTTCAGACTTGCATCTAAATTCCTTGCTTATGTAAATCTGCTCTTTAGTGTAGCAGAATATTAACACTATGACACTGCAGAATCATAGAATCATATAGAGAAGCAGGCGCTGGAAGGGACCTTCAGAGGTCATCTAGTCCATCCCCTTGCCTAAAGCAGGATCATCCCTGTATCCAAACCATCCTATACACATTCATAATCTCATTGTAAATCTATTGTCACCCCTGACACAACACAAGACACAAGCTGCCCCAGGTAAAGCAAGGGAACCACAGCCTTGACTCTCACTCATACTTTACATTGCTCTACCAAATATTTTTTACTCTACAATAAGGCCATGAGCTTTGCTAGATTGTTAAAAAATGGCTTCAGTGCAAGCAAGCATCAGGCTTCCTTTTAGAGATGAGCACTGCATTCAGCTTCACTAAGTTGAATGAGAACCACATTTTTGTATGTGAAGATTGAACAAAGGCCATATAGTTTTTCCTATTTTTTTCAAAAGGGGTGAGAAAAAATACAAATCCCACACTGGAATAAACTCTTTTCCTTATGGCTAATTTTAAATGCTTCTTTTTAATGTTATGATTATTTATCGATCCCTAAATAAAATAGCTATTTAGGGAATTCATGTTAAAGTAGCCTTTATCCTCTTTGTATATATTCACAGCTCTTTTGAAGCCATTATATGGGTTTTTTTCTGAGTTCCACACAGTTTTGTGTACATGGACATTTATTTTGTCTAAGACCTTAAAAACAACCCAATTAACCAACAGCCTGGTACAATATTCAGAAACATTCAGAACCCCACATTGCTTTTTTTAAGATTATGCCTTAAGGGGGAAAGGACATTCTCCCATTTTAGGAACACCTCTGTTCTCTTACGCACAGAAAGCTGCATTTCATAGAAATGAAGATAATCTCATGCTGCCAAAATCCTGCTCATGAATGACCCTATTGTAAAGATTTCCACCCTTGTTTTCTTCTAGTCCTGTCCTTCTCTACCAAGCCAAACTGAGTGATAGGCCTGAAAACTGAATTTGCTTCCAGCTAATGCAGGGGCAGGTAAATATTTTGGCTGGAGGGCCACTTAATGCGTTTTGGTGAGCTGCTGAGTTTTTGTAGCCCCATCCCTTGACAAGCACGCCAGCCCCTGGTCACCATCTTGGGGCTGAATGTTCCACCCCTAACCTCTGCTATTTGCCACTGGAAGTCCCTCCCCTTGCCCCTGGAAGTAATCCCTTTGGGAAGGGGGTTTGTCTTCTTGGAACCAGACAAAAGACAAATTATATACTAAGCATCAAACATCTGTAATAATATATTTTAATTTTATTTTTTTTAATATTTCTGTTCTGACTGTGTATGTTTGTGCTGTATATATAGAAGTGATTGCAAAATAGCTCAGAATGAAGTCTTACTCTTGTATATTGTGGGGGGGGTGTGGAGAGGTGTCGGGGTGTGGGGTTTGTGGGGACTTCTAGGTGTGTATGTGAGGATGTGTGTGTATGTGGGGTATGGGGGAAGGTGTGGGGGCATGTGTGGATGTGGGTGGGTGGATATGGGTTTGTGAGGGTGTGTGTGTGGGTATGGAGTTTGTGGAGGTGGAGGGTTGGGGGTGTATGTGGGTGTGTGTGTGCCATGTGCATGTGACAGTGAGCTGGGCTCCCAGAGGCACAGATAAGTGCCATGTTTGTGCAGTGTGATTGTGTGTGGAAGAGGATGTGGTTGTGGGGTTTAGGGTGGGAGGGTGTGTGGGGTGTGCATGGAAGCCCCCGCGCATGCCCCCTTGTGCCGGTCAGCCCCCATCCCACACATCCTGCAGTGCCTCCCCTGCCACCACCAACGCCGCACAGCCCCAGCACAGCCCATGCCCACTACATGTCACCCAGCCTGGCGCATCCTTCCACCCCTGGGCATGCAGTGCCCCTCCTCCTCACCACCATGGGGAAAGCAACCCCTCCCCCTTGCCACCACTGGGTAGTTTTTGGTGCAGCCACCTGGAGTGTGTGTCAACTTTAGTTCAAAGCATGTTTTTTGGGTTTTTTTAAAAGATCCAGCAGCATTTAAAAGCCATCACTGAAGAAAAATAAAACTCACTCAGAGACTATAATCTTTCATATCAGACTCTCCATATGTATCCCATTTTTATGGTTTTAAATTAGGGTTTTATGGTGGAAATGCTATCAGACATCTAATTAGACACTGGTTTTAGCAGCTGCTATTATAAGTGATACCTGTGGTGATAGAGGAGAGTCTCTCCTTCATAGGAAATAGAAATAGGGCATGGGGAACTCCTTACGAAGTATATACCTAATCTTGTAGCAAGATATAAATGTGACAGAACTCACTAGCACAGGGAACCTGGTACTAATGAAAAGTAAAAAAAAAGAGTATGTCCATTTTAATGTGTTTCTGCATTATACCTTGTTTGATTAGGTTACAAAGATAGCAGTCTTTTGTTATTTGCTATGAATTTCCTAATTGCAAA